GGGGGGGGGGGGGGGGGGGGTGTCTATGTGTGTGTGTGTCGCCCTGGCGGTGAAGGGTGGACGGCCCCCAGTCCTGGAGGCTGGCCTGGCCTCCCTCCATGCTCCAGTCTGAGGGGCAGGTGCCTGGAAGGGCTGCTCAGGGCGGGGCCACAACGAGCCAGCGGGTTCTGTCCCGGCCCCTGGACGCCAACGAGCCGTCCAGAGAGAGGCAGTGAGCATTTCCTTGGAGGAGCAGGCCATGTCCTGAGGACACCTGGGGTCACAGGCCAGCCTGCCGCTCTCCCCAGCCCCTGTCTTCAGAGCAGGCTGCGGGGTCCTCGGGCTGGTGTGGGGCCTGCGGGCGAAGGTCTTGGCCACAGGGGAGGGTCCCCTACGCACCTCATTGAGGCCTGGTCCGCAGGGCCAGCTGAGGGGCGGCCAGATGTCCGACGGAGGGCGCTGGCGTCACACGGGGTTAACCTCACGCCCCTGGTGCGTCTGCAGCTGCAAGGACACGAACTGGCAGAAGCACAGGCCCAGCTCGAGGTGGCCGCGGGCTCTGTGCGCCTCGTCGCAGGCGGGGAAGTACGCGTGCGCCACGCAGCAGGCGTAGCTGCAGGAGAAGCGCAGCAGGGCCTCCCGGAACAGGGCCTCGCCCTCCGCGGCCTCCAGGAAGACCCGCCTGCAGTCGCCCAGCAGCACGTACACGAAGTGCAGCTTGTTCATGGTGTCGCAGCCCATCAGCAGCGAGTGGGGCGCCAGCAGGAGGTTGGCCTCCCCTACCCTGAGCACCAGTTCCTGCATCATCTTCTTAGAGAACCTCCTGAACCAGCACAGGGTGTTAACTCCTAACACGAAGAAGAGGGGGCAGAAAAATATGTTGGCAGAGATGAGGAAGAAGCGCTGAGCTGGGGTGTTTTCCAGGAGGCCCATGATCAGGGGCAGGGAAAGCAGGGCCAAGGCCACGAGAAACAGGAAGACGGCCAGCGTGACCCTGCAGCCCAGGTAGCGGAGGCAGGACCTGGGGGACCGCACCCCGTTGAGGATGCCCACGGCTCGCTTGTACACCTCGGGGTCCTCCAGCACCTCCTTCAGGGGGTCGGGGACGCCCAGGGTGCTGAAGGTGCCCACCTTCCACGAGGGCAGACTGTCCCTGTTGACGCAGTTCAGGGTCAGGAGGCTCTTCCCGCTGTACAGGGAGGTGGCGGGGCGCCAGGCGGGCAGGGAGCGGGCCAGGCAGTGGTTGGGCATGAGCAGGAGCTGCACCACTTTGCGGTAGAAGTGGCTGTCTGCCGCCTCCAGGTAAGTCAGGTGGCTGAGGTGCAGCGGGACCTGGCAGGGCCTCAGCAGGACCGGGATGACCGGCTTCCTCTCCAGGCAGGAGCCGAAGAGCGACAGGTCGGCCTCCAGGAGGCACCACCGGCTCTGCACGAAGTCCTGGCTCAGCACCAGCAGCACCTTCTGGCTCTGCTGGATACACTCCGCCATGTTCTCCAGCACATTCCTCCCCGGGGTGAAGTCCCGCTCGTGCAGGCAGACCTTCAGCCCCGCGAGGTCCGCCTCCAGGCGGCTGATGAGCCCGTGGGTCCAGGTGGCGTCCACGCTGCTGTAGCTCACGAACAGGTGGAACTTTTCACTGGGCCTCAGTGGGGGGATGGCCAGAGCCACGCCTCCCTCCCCAGGGCCAGACTCCATGGGCACCACCTGGGAATCCAGTCCTGGGAATCTGCCTCCGGTCTCCGGAGAAGAAAACCACCCTCAGGCTGCAAAAGATCAAGACACACGGACTGATACGGGATGGACAACAGCGGACTATTTACAAAGACGGAACTGAGGTCGAGAACCCGCAGCACACAGCTCGGAGAGCCACAAACGACCCCGGTCACAACTGGCCCAAACCACCAGCTTTCCTGCTTACTGCCTGCCCCTCTTCCGAGGCAGGGCCCTTCGGAGAAAGCCAGCACGTTCCCTTTCCCAATCGCAAGGATACCGCTGCTCTAGCTCCCTGCCCCCAGCCCCCAGCAGGGTGCCTGAGCCCCCTTCCACCGTGGAGTCTCCCACTCCCCTGCCTGCCCCTGGGTCTCGGCCACACCCAAGTGTCGTGGGATCCCCCAATATGGTGCGCTGTAAGGAATCAGCCTTGCTGTTCTCATCTGGGGCATCTTCCTTGATGTCCACTAGACATTGGCTTTGAAAGGGTCGGGGCACAGAGTGACCGCATCTTCCAGCCCCTTCTTTCTCTTCAGTTGTGGCTCACCTGGTTACTGGTCCTGAGGGATTGCTATAGACTGAATGTTTATGTCCCCAGAATTTGTCGGAGCCCTAACCCCCAGGTACAGGTATAGGGAGATGATTAGGGCATAAGGGTAGAGCCCCATGAATGGGGTTAGTGTCCTTATAAAGAGACCCTCAGACAGCACCCCGCCCCTGCCACCAGTGAGGATGCTGTGAGAAGGCGCCACCTGCAAGCCAGGAGGTGGCCATGACACCAGCACCCAGATCCCAGAATGCCAGCCTGCAAACTGTGAGAAGTGACTGTCTATTGTTGAAGCCCCCAGACTGTCGTGTTGTGTTCCTAATTTTTTTTAACGTTTATTTTTGAGACAGAGACACAGAGCATGAGCAGTGGAGGGGCAGAGAGAGAAGGAGACACAGAATCCGAAGCAGCCTCCAGGCTCTGAGCTGTCAGTACAGAGCCCGATGCGGGGCTCGAAGTCACGAACCGTGAGATCGTGACCTGAGCCGAAGTCGGACGCTCAACCGCCTGAGCCACCCAGGCGCCCCTGTCGTGTTGTGTTCTGGAGCCCAAGCAGACTAAGATGGGTCCGCCTCTATAACGTTTGCTCTATTGCTCTAGGAAGGGCAGACACACTTTCCAGGAAGCACTAGAACTTTCTCCATGCTGCCTGAGACCCTCACATCGAGATCCCAATGCTCCGACTCAGTGAACAGAGCTTGAACTGCGGCCACCAGAGGTCTGTCTGCTAGTGTCCAAGGAGGCCCACAGAGCACTCGCCGCTGAGACCCTCTCATGTGCCGACGACCGGCTGGCGGCCCTGCCGAGGGGCCTCGCCCACTGGAGCCCTACACATCCCATGTGGCAGCTGGTCAGTGGCTGTGCTGCCACTCTGCCAGGAAGTTCCCAGCTGAGACCCGTCCCCTCTCGGTGAGCAGGGGCAGGAGAGCCCAGAGGAGGACCAGGGAGCAGCTCTGGGAAATGGAGGTGGGAGAAGCCCGGCTGCCCACTCCCTGCTTCCACGGGGCCCCCCACCCCTACTTGCTCTACCAGCTGGTCGGGAAGAAGGCACCCGCACAGTGTTGACAAGGGGCTCCTCCCGTAGTGTGGCCAGCACAGCACAGCACAGCTGGAGCCTCTGTAAGGGGCCGCGGTGCCCACCCTTCCTGGCCAGCAAGCCCTCCTGCGTGGGCACCATCCCCACACCACCACCCCCGCTTCCAGGTGGCGCAGCGGAACGTCAGGTGGGCGAGGCTCTGGGGGACACATCTGAAAGCCTGGTCTCACAGGGCTCCCCCTCCATGGAGGGCTGGCTGCCCCGCCTCTCCCACGGGCAGCCTGCAAAGTGGGTGAGGGTGTGCACGCGTCCGGGACGTGCCTGCACCCGCTCCACGCTTCCCCGGCAGACACGCTTGATTTACCTCGTCGTTAAATGCTATGACTCAGACACCATTCTGGGCATCGAGGGTCTCAGCCAGCCAGCACTGGCCACCCATGCTGCCCACTCTTCACTGCAGTCCGGGGGAGGCCTGGGAGGCAGCTGGGGACCCTCCCCCAGTGCCGTCCCCACATAGAAGGAAGTTTGCAGCCAATACTTTCTAGGGGCATCTCTGCTACAGCACAAGGAGTGAGAAACCGAAAAAAGGAAGCAGATTGAGGAAGGCCCCTTGTGCAGAATGGGGGTGAGGGGTGGACAGGGAGAAGAGGCAGAGCACTGCCCCTTCTGAGAAACCCAGCTGGGCCTCAAGGTCTGGAAATAGGGGCAAGATGGTCAGGAAGCTCTTGAAGTCTGTCTGATGGTGATGCTGGGCACTTACAAGGCCCCTCTGCCGGGGCCGCTGGGCTTGCCGGCCGCCCGGCCAGGCCCTGCAGCTGGAAGGAGTGACGGGGAGGGCCGGGTGACCGGTGCCTCCTGGTAAGGTTCCCCGAGCAGGTCTGGCCAGGGTGGGGCGTGGGAGTGCATCCTCGAAGGAAGGGGAGACCCCAGCTGCTGGGCGACCCTGCCCAAACAGCCACGCGGAGCTCAGGTGACTTCCCCTGTTCCTGCCCTCTCAGGGTCAGCCTGGGAGCCAGCTGCGGCCCTCCTGGTGGTTTCCCAAAACCCACCCACACCTCGCACCGGCCCCTTCACCAGTTCTACTCAGCAACCCAAGGGAGAAGCCATCTGGGTCCCTGGGGGCCCCGTCCCCCTCCAAGACCTCCTCCCACCTGGGCCAAAGGTGTGTCTCCAAAGGCTCCTCTCCAATCTGAGCCATCACGTGCATGTGATCTCTTAAGAAAATAGCTATTTGAACTCCCCCCTGGTGAAGACAGTCCCTCATGGACTATTTTGTTCCTGGAAAAGCAGCGACACCCAGAATTGATGAAGCTGCCTGGTGCTGATGATGCCAGTGAGGCTGGCACACCCCACATGGACCAGGGGCCTGTGATGTGTCACCACAGATTTGGAGCACAAGCTGGTAACCACTCCAAGAGGCACGGAGGAGGGGTCTGCCTTTTGAGGACAGAATCCCCCAGAAAAACCAGCCACAGGCCCAGCTGATGAGATCGTGCCTGGAGTAACAGAACTTTGAGGGGCAGGCACATCCAGTGATACCGCCTTCGGAGGACAGAGATTTTCCCAACAACAAATCCTTTGAGGGGCTCACCTCTCCC